CTGCTGATGGTAATAGGAGCTTTACCGAAGTTGCAAATCAAAATTAGACATGCATTTGTATTTTAGGTTGGAAGAACTTGGGCTTCTTGGAAAGTCTGCTGGGAGAGGGGGCCACAGTCAGGCTATCCTTGATCTACCAGGGATATGTTCAGAATTACTGATCTTCATCCAGGTGCTGAATGTTCAGCAAGGCTAGGAGATAAAGCTGATTGTCCACCTAGGTCTTCATCTCTGTATCTGATCACCTCACATCCACTGATGAATTTTATCCTTGTAAGACCCCTGTTGAGATAGGGAAATTTCATCCCTCCAACCCCATTTACAGATGGGGAAAACAGAGACAGGGGAGATTATGTAATTTGAACAAGGTCACACTGGAGGTTTGTAATGGAGCCAGCAGATGACATTTGAGTCCCAGTTCAGCATGCTAGACCTAAGACTATCCTTTTTGCCACAGATGCCTTGTGTGGACTGCTGATGCTCTGGGCAACTCAGCCATTGGCTTTTTTATCTTGTACCACTTAAAGAGAGTCTCAGGTGACTTCTCAAGCTTCTCCAAGAGGACTCTGGAGTCAGAGAAAAAAATACCCATAATGATTCTGTGGGCTTCATTGGAGAATGCATAGACCAGACAGTTCTGTTTCCTGCTGCAGCTTGAAGGAGCTGACAGGAATATTTTTGGATCAGTATTATCAAATAGTGCAGAGGAGTCAGTTCCATGGTCTGGCCTGAAACCTAACCAAGAGAAAATTCAAAATATTGGCACCTGGAAATAGATATTGACTGGATTTTAAATGGGTATGGGATGCTAAGTATCATAATTACTCTGTGTGTGTGTGTGTGTGTGTGTGTGTGTGTGTGTGTGTGTGTGTCCATTGATATTCATGGGGCCTTACAATACAGATAAGTCATCTCCTTCCCTATAGAACTAAGACAGATTATTAAAGAGTCCAGATCCTGAAAAATGACCCATATGGAAGGACCTATTCTAGTTCAGGAAAGAAGCCTAAATTAATGTGCAAACCACAGAACAAGACTTCAGTTCAGGACTAGTTAGACTTGGTTTCACAAAGTATTGCTTTCACTTCCATGTTTCTGTCTTCCTTATCTTCCCAGTTCCTACAGTGACATTTGCTCACACCCAGAAGCATGAAAACACTAAGCAGCTGGCCACATACCAAAGTGATTTTGGGAAAGATTATTTCAGTATTATTTCAATTTTAAATTCGCTGGACCCAGAACAAGTTAATAAGTATGTTGAAAATGCTCCAGAGCAAGGTAGGATATTGTACGAAGGTCTATTTTAATCCATAAGGTCTGAACCTATGTGGACACAGCCCTTTTCATAGCTGTTGGAAAAGCAGAAAAACAGTCTCGTTCTTTCCTTTAGTGTAGGTGGATCTTGAGCCCCAGCCCTCTCTCTCTCTGCTGGAGGAATTATTAGGAAATTGAGATTTTTTTTCCCCCTACTTCCCCATACAAGAACATGTAGGAGAGAATATTGTGTTCTTAAAGATAACTTTATGTTAAAAGTGCTGGGACTTCTATAACCGCAGTCAAAAGTTCATAAATGAAATTCTTCAAACATCTTTTATTCATTTGACAATTTGTAATTCAAACAAACTCCTTTATTATTTTGATTATAACAGAGAAAATGATTCTTCAGAACTTTCTTAACACAGTGAATGAGAACCAGAATGAGAAAATCAGAAAGCCTTCACCTCTGAAGAGACCTCCAGCAGACAAAGTAACTGAATGCAAATTGTACCAAACAATGCAACGGGAGAAAGACCTTCAGTGTTGAATGAGTGCTGTAACTGTAACTCCTCATGTCTGTGTCTGGGTGTGTGGTAAGCAATTTGCAGAATGAAACCATTTACTAAAATAATAAAGGCTTTTGTGCTGCTGCCTCACGCAGCAGGGTGCTGATTTTGAGGGCTACAGAATGTGAAAGAATGTTTTGTAATCCCTGTATTGCAAATACCAGCAAAACACTTGTCCCTGGCTCGGAGGATGCTGTATATATCAGAGCTGTCCCATGGATGGTCCATGAGGAGTAAAGTTGCATATGGCACACAAGGGATAAAGTTGAGGTTCCCGGGCTCTGCCCAGTTGCTCCTCCTCACCATTGCTTCCACTACAACAGCAGCCAGAGTCTCTGGGCACCCTCTTTCTCCTATGAGGGGCCACGTGCAGTGTGGGAGCTGAGGGTGTCCTGGGACCACGTGGATGCATGGGACAGCAATGCAGGGCATATGATGCAGTTCTGGCAGGGTGCACGGGGCAGCAATGGAGGGGTGCACAGTTCATTGGGGCACAGGGGCAGTGCAGTGGTGGGAGCGAGTAATCTGCAATGTGCAGCCCAGGGGTTTGTGGCTTGTCCTGGAGCAGCTGGCAGGCATGCAACCCCCACTGGTGCAGCTGGGCAGGCATTCAGCCCCAGCCACTTAGAAGTTGGACAGCCCTGCTGTATGTCACCAAACACGTTAAAGATGTAGTGTACTCTAATTCTGTTTGTTGCTGTGTACATCAAATCTCATTGTAGATAAAAACTAGATACCCCTCTCCCCTTGAATTCCAACCACAAGCTGCTGATGTATAAATGTCCCCACAAGGCCAGCTCCAATGCGCAGTCTTACCTGGGCTTGCTACTGACTGATATCCTCCCACTACCCCACTTGGAAATCTTCAATTTTGAGTTCCTTCTCTTGTAAGCAAAAGCTTTCAAGTGACCAATGAGCATCCATCTCCATACTTGCCACAAGACAATAGCAATGTGGGCTGCCAGAGAACCTCCACAATATGTACACATTGATTACAAGCAACCTTGCCCCCATAATAAGAAGCAACACCCTTGGATGCTCATTCAATGTAAAATTCTTGGTGCAGGTCTACTCAGTTGCATTAAGAAGTATATTTCCATGTTGTCTTCTCACTATTTAATTCAGAAGCTGTTAAACTATAACTATCATGAAATGTGGTGAGGGCGGTCATACTGCTAAAAGAGTTGTGCTGTGTTCTTTTTTGCCATATATGGAACCTATTTGTACAAGAGCCCTTTGCCCATAGCTACGGTGAGGAAAGTATTATTGTGTGTTTTACTTCTGATGCAGATACTCCTGAGAGAATTACTTGTTTGCTTTCCTGAAGACTTTGTTCTTACTTATCTGAAATAAGCCATCTACAATGAAAATATATAGTTGGATCTTTCATAGATTCATAGATTCATAGATGTTAGGGTCGGAAGGGACCTCAATAGATCATCGAGTCCGACTCCCTGCATAGGCAGGAAAGAGT